TATCTGAACACTCTGTATTAAACAGGCTTTCTGATGCTCTGCTTCACTTAAATAGATTTTAGTATGTAAGTTCACTTTTCCTCATTGTTATTTTGCATCACTGGTGCAAAAAGAAAATTAAGACTACAAAATGCAGTAAACTATTTGTCCTATCACTCCTGTGATAGTTTTCTCTGGTGACTATTATTTATCAACATAGTAATTATAATTAAACATATTTTCCATGATGCCTAAAATTGAAAAACATTTAGGACCTTTTTCCCTCTTTTTCATATTTTAAACAGAGTGCTTATAAATTTGGTAGTGATAAGTTTGTAAGAAAAAAGTCCTTCTGTATAATCCTAATATGAGACACTGAGAGAAGCAAAATTCCTTTACTTGAAAATTATGAAGGTTTCCTTGTGCATAATGATTCATGTAAACCCTATAAAAATCTTCTCAAATCATAGAAAATGATTATCTTAACAAATATATGTCAGTATGCACGATTTCTGAGTTCTTATTCTAGGAAAAGAGACTGCACAGAAAGGATGAACAATGGTATGGAAACTTACCATCCTCTCCAATTGGACATTTTATTGCAGACTTATTGCTTCCATGTGTTAAAAAAAAAATTCAAATCTTTAAGCCAACCCCAAGCCCCTAAAATTTTTGGCACTCTTATTAATCACTGAAACCAAAAAAAAAATAAACTTTTTTTTAAAATCACAAGCCTATCAGAGTCAAAATTTATTTTATCATTATGGAAATATGTTAGAAATTAATAATAAAGTTTGGTTTCTACAAAGCTCAAAGAGATTACGCTATTTAAAGCTGCTAAAACACCATAAATTATCTGGTCTTAATATTTAAATAAATAATGCCTATTTTGAATATTGCATTCTAGAGCATATAAGAAATTAATTTGGGGGAATATGAAAATGGATGAAGTTAACACTTTTTTTTTTCACAGTAAATTTTTTTAAGTGGTGGTTACAAAAAGCTGAGGAGTACAAATGTCATATAAAATTAATTCACATTATTTCCTGAAACAACAAAATCTTTGTTCAAACTACAAAGAGAGGTCAATGAACTACCTAAAGCTCTGCTGTCTCTGCACTCTTCCACAAAGCAGGGTGCACAAAGGAATGCTAACTCCCTGAGACCAGACACCCCCAGGTTCAGGATGTGTCAAATGGGAGAAGGGAAAAGTTCCCTCACCCCAAAGTGAGAACAGACGGGAATGCAAAATTAGACGCGAAGAGATGTGAGGCTCTGCTGGTCAAGCAGGGGATCCCTTGGCAGAGAGGAGCCAAACAAACCAGACCTCAGCTTGTTCCACCTCCCAGTTAACTTCCAAATTAACCCCATGGGAATGCAAGGCGGTGCTTAGGTTCAATGCATTGATCTCAACTTTTGTAAGCATTTATGTAAATTTTATCAGGAAACTATTCATAACTATATGTTTAAAAATTTTATGTTTACAATATAAAATAGTCTCCTAATCACTTCTGTGAGCTGAATATATATCAAACACTGTTAACAATGAAATTTTTAAATAATAAATTAAGTGGCTTTATGAAAAAGAGGCAACAGGCAGAACAAGATGTCAACACTGAAATTCTTGTATGATGGAAGAGTTATGTGCCATAAATTAAAGTTATATAAATAAAATGTGAATATGTTTTATATTCATTACTTTCATATTTTATCTGCATAACTAAAAATAATCTTAATAGTAATGCCAGCAATACTTACTATATCTAGTAAAAAAAATGTTCATATTTGATACCCAGTTTTATACAGAATGATACAATTTTTCTATCTAAAAATATCAACTATAACAAAGAATACTCTTAAAGTGCTGTGTAATCTCTTCGATATTTTTTTATATTTAATATGGGTATTAATTTAAAATTATTACAAGGAAAACAAAAAATGGGTGCTCTCAGATTTGAAAGTATTCAAAACAGTTTTATTTTTAATAATCATTCTCTTAAAATATTATAACATTAAGAACAATCTGGTAAGAGCAAACCATGAGCATTTAAAGAGCCATCAGACGTGTCCCTAAGAACATTGCTCATGGGGCAGATCTGTGTGTGCACTCTCTTTCACAGAAAATTACATTTGTGATACAATAAGAATGACTCAGTATTTTAATCAGTACTGCTCAAAATTATAGATCATTTTCATCCATGATTTCAAATTTATTTTCCAAGGTAACAATAAAAGCTGTATACCTTTTTCCTGCAGTTAAAGAAAATTGACTTTCAATATCTTAACCCTGTTTTATTTTTTTTAACTTTATAAAATATACACAACAAAAAGAAATACAGAAATATGAATCACTCCAAATGGTGAAAGCAACTGCACTTCATACTTAAAGTGATTTCAGTTCAAACAATCCAAAAAGCAGTGGTAATATGACGCAGGTTTCACTTGTAATAAGGAATGAGGCCTTCCATAAAGATGCTCCATAGAGTATATTGCATTTAGTTGTATAAATACATAAAGCAATTACTGAAAAGTAGATTTTATTATTCAGGTTACTCTAAATTATATGTAAACACTATTACCAAAAAGAAAAACAATATTTCAAGGCTTCTAGCCTTTTTTCCCCCTTCCTTATCGACACATTAAAGTCACAGCAGACAAACATTTGGGGATCAGGGTCAATTATATTTCCTTAAAATTCACTTTCCACACTTTCTATCTGTGCAAATGAAATATCTGAATTAAGCAAAAACAACTGTAAACATTTTCAAGTTCACCCTCATATGAATAAACCCAAAATCTAATTCTCCAAAATATCAAGTGCAGATCCCTATACAAATTTTACATTATTATCTAAATTCATTTTGTGGTTAGCTGGTCAAATGATTTTAACATGGAAAACAGTGAACATTTAATAATGAATCCAAAATGTCTATCTTCCTTTTGGTGGTAGGGACAATTCTGAATGCATATGCATACACACATTTATTCAAGACTCCTGTCCTAGCCCCAGATTGTCCACTGTCTTTTTCAAACCAGGTTAGTCGCAAGACTGTGGAAGATACACATACTCATCTGTAAAAGGAATACAGTTGGTTTAGGTTAGGGTTTCTCAGACTACAGGCTGCAGACACCTGAGCATCTACAGGCATATTCTTGGGAATCTTGTGAGAGTTATAACGTGTCTGGTGTCTTATTTTGGTGTCTTCATTTATAACATAAATATAATTATATTCTGTATAATCTCATTCACAACTTTTACCTCCACTTATTACCACTTAATTTTAGGATCTGATTTTGATACAGTGTTTATTATCGTGTTGGTGTTAGCTTTCTATGGTGACAGAGTTTAACTTGTAATATACCATGTTCCTCAAACTGGAATTCACAAGTGTAACCTCAGAGACACTTTTCTGTTGAAACAAATCCACATAGTATTCAAGATTAATAGATGCTACATTAGATAATCTAATTATTTACCAGTCTGAAAAATATATTACATTCTACTGTAGTTTACCAATAATTTATGGATACCAGATTTAAAAAGCACACTTGGAGAAAGTGGATTCATAAGAGGAGTTACAATTTCTAATTCTATGTTCTACTTGTTTTAAATGCAAATGAAATTTCTGAGATAACAATAGGATGGCATTCAGTGGGCAAAATGAAACGAGGCTGTCAGATAAAGGTTCCCCTGGAAACAGTTACTGTCATTTCAGATGGTTTAGTAAACTGTATATTAATAAGAATAAGAAAATCCCAATTTTGCTCTGACTTAAAAAAGCACCTTGGTATTAGAGTGATTCATTTTTGAAACCCCCATTTTTTCTCCATTACAAAGTTATTAGATTATGCTACTCAATGAATAAAATGCACAATGCCAGGTACTCATGTTATATAACGATAAGGATGTTTCAAATTTTAATTTTTATAATAAATAGGAAAACAACAAATCTAAAAACTCAACTATTTGCTATTCCTGTTAGTGACAATATGTACATATGTAAAAACAAGAGTATAATTTTATTTTTTACCATATTATGGTTATTTGATCTAGCTTTAAAAGCAATTATGCTTAAATATGCCATCTAATTTTAATATACTTACAATGTTGTTAATTGGCATTTAAGGTATTTTACAGGTAGAAATCATGATTTACTGTCTAAAAGATTAAAAATAAAAATGGACCGTTACTCATATATCACAATTTTATATCGTTTCTAAACCACATACTCTTAAAGGCATTCTCAACTTATATGTATTTCAACAATAGGATAATCTTGATACCAGGAAAGCAAAGTAAAATGTTTGCAAACTGCAAAGATATTATGAATTTAAAATACATATACATTTAAAACAGTTATTTTTTTATTTAAAAAATTAGGAAAAATGATAATCATTTAAATCATCTTATTCATAACTGTGGTATAAATATGAATAAAAGTTTTAAGTAAAAATCCTCCAAAAGTATATAGGATTTTTTTCCATGCAACATCCTAACTGACCACTTTTTAAAAAGAAATGTTTCTAAATCATTTCTAAAGTGTTGACAATAGGATAACATAATATGATTATTAAAGTAATGAATTATTGATTTTGAAATTATTGAATTTAAATTACTGACTTTTGACAGATTCATTTTTTCTACATGAAAGGCTGTTAAAATCTAAAATCAATTCTTTAATCAACACATTTCATAATAATTTTATCAAAAGAGAAACATCATTCAAATTTAAAAGAGTTCTCATTTCCTGTTATCCTTGCCAATATAACTAACATTAATTTGTTAAACTCATTTTCAAACTTTCTTCTTCCTACAAAGGAATTTTCTGCTTTCATTATTAAAGACCTCTTTGCTAGATTTAATGAGACAATTAACTAAAGGACAATGATGTGGAATCAAATGGAAAAAGTGCATTCCTAAAAGTGCATACTTTTATATATTGTGATAAATAATTTTTTTTCTTGCAATAGACACATGCAATTGCGCAAATGTTAAAATCAGTTTCAGAAAGTTACTGTACCTGAACTGTTGAGCTGATCTCCGATGCAAAGCCACCAGTCAAGGGAGCCTCGTGACTGATGAGCAGTCGTCCTGTTTTGATCACAGACTGAAAAAAAAAGGAAAACCTGATGTTGAAGAGAATACATATTTTCAAATATACTGTGGTAGTTTTGATGAAGTAATAAAAACAGATTATTTAAATCCAGTACAATTTTATGCCAAGTTTAAAACTCCATTTCAACTGGACAGTAATTTGATTTTTGTACTGTTAAATTTTTCAATATAGTTTATAATCCTAAAACAAAAGGAAAATGATATTCCTAATTCTATGTATGCCATTAAAAATGACTTCCATTATAAAATATTTTTGTTATAAACTGAATTACTATATTTCACATTTTCGTATCTCAGTATCTTTTTTTCTGCATATTCCTTTAAGAATGAAAGTGCTTTTTGCTCATTTTGGGGTATATTTACATATAAATAGTCTTAGAAAATATTGTTTTATGGAGAAAGAAAACACAAAAATAACATGTAAAAGCTGTGGCAGAAAAGCTCAAGATACAAGATATTCAAAGAAACCTAGCAGGAAGAAATCATTGCAAAAGTAAAGAGTTACAACCTTCTTCATTCATTTCATTAAAACCTGGTCAGTGACCTCAATTCCATATTAACGTAGAATATGTCATAAACAACAAAGATGTATTCTCAATACTGGGTCAGTGAGGCTGTTCACACTGTGCATGACATACTCTGTACAACAATAAATCAACAAGTATAGCTATGACATCACAGCAGGATGCCAGCTGTACTGGAAGGTAAAAAGTATTAAAATCAACAGCAAGTTATTGCTTAAAACATGTTAAATAATTACCATATTACCAAAGAGAAGTATAATTTCTCTTCTACATTCTAATAATTTGATATCATCTTCCTTAAATTCTACATTATCATTTCATGAATATGAAATAATATCTTCCAAGCAGAAATATGCATATATAAGGTTTCCTTCATTCTAGAATATTAGAGTTTAGAATTTTAAAATTATGCAGCAGCTTCAGCCAGCAGATGTTAATCTCCAAGATAAGGCCAGTAGCCATGACAAAAATAAATTACTGTACCTCCTGAGTAAATAGTGACTTAAAAACATACAATTTTTTATGAACACCTTAATGAATACCATCCCCACCCCAGCAAAATGGTAATCTTGGAGTATTGGTTATTTGGATTTTATGACTGTGATTAATTATGCCATTTATGAAAGTCACAAATTAAGTTTTAATGCACCTGATTATAAATATAAAGAGACAAAAGTATTCCAATCATGAAAAAAACAATGTATTTTCACAGTATTCTTTAAAAAGATGTCCTGACTTAAAGGATCACTAATTTAAAAAAAAGATTTGATAACCAGATCTTTCTCATAGCTCTGAATCCCAGAATTTTGCCTATGTATAAGTATCTAAGGAGGACATAGCCAAAATTCATCCCAGCTAGATGGTACATCTTAAGTGTCTAGCAGGTAGAAATAAGAAAGGCCTATAAAAATGCTGATATTACCTTAAAACCCCACAGAACAGAATTGGTATTTTTTTCTTATCTGGGCTCAGGCTTATCCAAGATCAAATGACAACCTTTAGAATTATTCCAGAAGGTGAATAAGCAGCCAGCGCAGACGGCCTAATCTTCCTATAGCCTACAGAATATAGTGGCAAAACTAAGCACAGGTGTAGCCAGAACAAAAGCTTCCAGTCCCTGGAGTTCATGCAACATGATATGTAAGCAGATGAAATATAGAGACTTGAGTACCTTCAGCAAGAGAAATGTTAAATAAACCAAGAAGAATCAATACAGGCAAGTATTATGCCACCATGAAGAAGACATGGGCCATGAAAGATGTTGTGATAAATTAACTGGTAAAATAAACAAATTGCAGAACAATATAACCTCATTTTTATGAGAAACCTCAGCCACATCAGTGGAGATACCAATCAGCATGGCTAAGCTACATATACTGAGCCAGTATGTGCAGATAGATAAATTCATTCAAACCACCAAAACATGTTTCTCCTAAGGAGTGACAGTGAAAGAATTGTGGGGAAAGGACTTCCGTTTTTTACTTGATGCAAAATGTATTCTTTTATTACTGAAAACATTCTCAATTAAGTCTAAAATAAATAAAAACAAAGTCCTTGAGATAATGCTGAAAGTAACAAAAATATGTTATGTTGCCATCACAATCTCCTTTAAAAAATATAGGAATGTTTTTTATGGTATCTTAGGGCTAATTTCAGATACAAAGGAATTCTGAGGCCCCAAATTCCAGCAGCAAATAGGTACACTGGGAACAAAGGGAGTCAGCTTTCCTGTCCCAGTCCCTGTATGATCTGCTGCACGTCAGGGTCACAGCCAGCCCATCTCTTAACTCTCAAACTGTCGGATCCTAGACAAAATGGGAAATAACCTACTAGTGTGAGGAAGGTGACATTCTTCAACACCTCTGTGTGTGTGTTATGTAAACATGTGTTCTTGGATCTGGAGTTTATGCTGACAGTTACAGAAAAAAATTTCAGAAATTTCTAAAACTAGAAGAGCTAGAGGGTAATGAAAAGTAGTAACACTGAGTTTATGGAAATTTTCACCATACATAAACGAGTGAGAGAGAGTGTGACAAGAAGAGAGGAGTCAGAAATAATGATCATAATCACGAATAACTGATGGTCACATGAGCTGCTGTGTGCTAGGCTTTGAACTAAGCATTTTATAGTGATCACTTCATTGCGTTTGAAAAGCACCTAAATTTCATTTTTGTTTCTTAAAAACAACTCAAATTATCTGAGAAGTATTACAATACATAAAATCAAATTACACCAAAGTTCTGAAAAATGCCCAAATTTAGAAAAGGATATTTTCAAGGCCACAAACTCAAAGAATTAGTATATATCATTACAGATTGAGTCTACAAATATAGACCAATGGTTTGATAAGCTATAATATAAATTCAACTTGGTATGTGCTTTTTATCATTCACCATTTTACAAATTTCTGAAGATGGCTTCTTTCCTATTTTGGAAGTTAACATTTTGTTAACATTATAATAATATCATTAACAAATCTACAAAATTGAAGAGTGTCACTCTTTCTATTCTTTGTGATTCAATTCGATATTCTGATTAAATACTAATTTTTGTCAATTTTAACAGGCATTTTATTTTCATCCATTTAGGCACAAAATATAAAACTGCCGGGAAATGTTTCTAGCCAAATTTAGCACTTTGACTTACTTAAGTAAAAACTAATATAGTGCCTTTTGGTGGAGATAGCCAATAACCTTTTTAAAATAAGTAACTATATATATATAAACACTAATAATACTTTAGAATTCTTTTTTAAGAAGAATATGATTTTTACAGTTTCAAGTTTTCTTCGAAGAAAAGTGTATTCTGCCACTTGAAAAAATTTTAAAGGATCTTAACAACTTTTCAGTATGAAAGGTTAATTTATCAAAGCCAGGAAAGATCATGTAAGGCTGCATTTTCCAGATCTACTTCTTCAACTTTGTGCCACTAAGACCTGCCTCAGGATTCTGGCTGTAGGCAGGTGCAGCACCAGGACATTAGAGGCAACAAATGGCCCCAGAGAAAGCCAAGCCAAAGGAAGACTGGGACTGTAACTGCTCTCTGTGTCCCGTACCACAAAACAAAAGGGCTTTGTTCCCTACAACAGTTGGAGATTTGTCAAGAAAACTTAAAACACAATTCCGCAAAGCTAAAAATGAAGCAGCCTGTGGCTGCTTAGTTCATTAGCACTGGTCTGCCCTGAATTTCTCCCCTGGATTCTCAATTTTCTCACTATTTCAGGTAGTCATTCCCTCCCCCAGAGAATCAGCAGCATCAAGAGAAGTCTTCAAAATCTTAACACTGAAAACGTGACAACACTGCCAACAACAGAGAGACCGTGAACACACTGTTCTAATGAAACCCTGAAGACACTTGTTCCTGCTTCTGCCACCCTACAATTTTTTCCTTTGTCCATCTTCTACCCAGATGTCATTACTAGTAATTATAACTTCAAGTTATCTATGCAGGATACCTAGCACAAAGCTGAGAATATGGTAAACACTCAAGAAAAGTTTAGATAAAACTCTATTAAAACAATTTAACTATATTAAGCATGTCTTCATTTAATTTATTGAGGCTATTGCTTTCTGAGTAAAATCCATTTTAAAAGATAGTGCAAAGTATACCTCAGCACACCCCAGAACAACTTAGAAATGAAATAGACTCCAAACTGAGGATATCTTAATGTAGCCTTAACAGTAACCTATCTGTGGTAATAGCAGAATTGCTAACTTACAGTCTGTTAAAATGACTGCACAGCTGTTGGCTGGCCAAACATTGGACATATGGTTTAGTGAATGTAGCCTTTAAAGATTTTAACACAACCCAATCAGGAAAACAAGTTGTCATTCCAGGAGAAAATGATGCAGACAAGCAGACCGTTAAGCTAGCATATTTCTGAAAGTGCAAAACTGACATTCAAAAAAGCCAAAAATACATATATTTTACTTCTTACTCAAAATCTGAAACAAGATTTCCTCCTACAGAGCAATTCAACCTGAGGAACAGCAAGTTCAGCAGCCTACTGTGACTGCTAAGAAGATCAAATAGGGAAGCAACTTTGGCAAGGCAATTTATAGCCATTTTACCATTTTATATCTGAATATAAAGCTAATGAAAAGCAAATGAAACATCAAAGCTGGCCTTTACCTTTTTTTTTAATCAAATGCTTATAAATACATATAATAAGTAATTGTAAAATCATACACCTGCGTTTCATTAATTAAGAACATATGTCAATAATTATATAGAATCATTAAGGACATGATTTTAATTAGCTACAAATATCATTGCAAACGAATTAAATTTTGGATATGTTTTCTTGTTTAGTAGCCAAATGCATTTGAAAAGTTAGCCGGAGAAACCTCACAATCACTGGCTAACAAATGTATTAGCAGATGCCTAGTAACTATTACTAATCAGCATGACCTTCACGCACAATCAGACCACAGATTGATATTCCACTGGTGAAATGCCAGCACTGAAA